AGAATGAGTACACAGACACTGAGAGCTAAAAGAATTCTCCACTCTAATGGACAAACAAGAAAAACTCTCAGATTTGCCCCAAAACCGCACCCGCAACACCATAGCTATAAAAGTTGTGACCACGCAAATACTAGCTATGTTTGAAAGGAATGGAGGTAAAGGTAGCATACAGAAAACCTAGAGGTAAGCAGCCACATTTACCCAACTTTTTGATAATTTTTGGTTAATAGTTTTGCTGCTAAGTATATTCTGCAGGGTCTCGAAATTATAAATCATTTCACTGGTTAATTTACATGTGCAAACTGATTCACTAGAATGAACCAGACTTTCCAGAGAAAAGACCATTTAAGATTTTGTGCAATACCTTAGTCTCCTGTAAAGCTATGGCACAATTCATTCTGACATTAAAAGCAAATCATGGTTTTCATTGTAATTGTTGTTGGACAAAGTAGCTTGCTACTGAAAAACTACAGTATTTTGAAAATAGCGTAGTTATTATGCTACTGAAAAATGTAGTTAAGGAAGTTAAAGCTTTGACTTCTCTATCACCACCTGTGGTTAAAACATAAAATTGCAACTTATTTGCACTGTTTTATGGCAGGTCTGTCACTCCACTTTAAGACCCACTGCCATCAATAAGAAAGATGATAAATGTGTTGTTTGAGCAAGTAAGTAGCATACTGCATTCCATGCCATAGTAGCCAGGCCTTCTATTCTTTATCTTAGGACATACAAGGACAAATTATGTAAATCTGACATTTCCTGCCAAATCTGACTGAAAATATCATAATGAAGCACTGATTGAGCACTGATTGTTTATATATTTGCTCAATAATAAAATTGTATGCATTATTAGCCCAGAACTCAAACATTACCACCACAGCTCTAACAGGTCTATAAAAGTGACAGGTAAAAGTAGGATACTTTCAATAAAAGGTCCAACATGTTATGAATACTATTAGCTTGAAGTTTAGCTTACCTGTCCAGAAGAAATTGTGCAAGTATGTAATATCAATTGAAACCCAAACATTACATCAAATTCCTCCATCTTGTGAAAACACTGCCAGTGTTTACCCTTGATTTACCCCAGTGTCTTTCTCTGTGCATTTTGGCAAGTCTTCAAATTTTGCTTGCGCTACTGTAACGGAATCTGAGTTTCTTTTTCCACACCAGTTAAACACGCTCAGGCTCAGCCAGCTAATTAGCCCCGCCCCAAACTCTCGCTATTGGCTGCGCAGAGGTATGCAAATACATAGTTTGACAGAGCGGTAGGACATCCTATAGGATCAAATGCATTGATTGGACAAACATTTCAGTCCTGAGGCTTCCACAGTAGATATATTTTATATTTTGACCATTTTAATTATTGATTCCTATCAGGCTGTGAAGAAATTTTCAGCCAGTAAAAAAAAAAAATTATAATAATATATGTTTCTTGAAATAAAATGTAATCCTTAAGGTTGTGGTTTCAACCAAAAATTTAAAAAAAAAACTTGGTAATTGTTATAGGTGCTAGGGTATGCGTACAATGTGTGTTATATAAAATTGATCATCATTCATACTGTGTGTGTGCAGACAGATTTTTTAAAAAACTGTTCATACTCATCTCACGTTTACGTCTTGAATTTTATTTGCACTAATAAGGAAGTTCACAAGGTGGCAACACTCGCCTAGACTGATGTTCATAGTTAAAAAAAGAAAGGAACCGTACACTACTGCAAAAACGTCTCAAGTTACGTGTGTAACCATGGTTCCCTGAGAAGGGAACGAGACACTGTGTCTACCATAGCCATGGAAGTTGCCCCTAGGACGCCTTGACGGCCGTCACTAGAGGTCGCTTTGGGGAACGCCTTCAGCGTGACCGGTGTCTGAAGCATACATCTAAACACGACAATAACATTGGCCGGCGACAGCCTATGACGTCATTACCCGGCGCGATCACCGTATAAAAGGGCGCCGGGAGAACACGTCATCTGCTTCTTCATCTGAAGCTTGCGTCCGAAGTATGGCAAGGAAACTAGAGGACACAGTGTCTCGTTCCCTTCTCAGGGAACCATGGTTACATATACGTAACCTGAGACGTTCCCTTCTGAGGGAACTTCGAACTGCGTCCTCTAGAGGTCGCTTTGAGGAACGGTATACCCATGCCGCCATGCTGAGGGGAGTGCATGCCAGAAACCACGCCGAGTACTAAGTACCAACTCTACCATAACCATGGGAGTTGCCCCTAGGATGCCTTGACGGCTGTCAGTGACATTATTCCCTCCGGCCAAGGGCCTGAGCTGCATACCCTAAACAACTTACCTGTTAAGGGTTGGGCTGGGAAGCCCGAGCCTAGGGCAGAGCTCAAAGGCTTGGAATCAAAAGAAGAGATTCCTTTGAGGGGATACGGCCAGGCGTCTAAAAAACAAACCAGACCCTAGCCTGTCACCCAGGGGGCTACCGCCAGTTCTGAATGAGCTTGCTTAAAGAACTGGCGCGACAGATTTTTGGTAGCAACACCCTGCTCAGAAAAGTATCAACAGGGATACATAAGTTGAGTGGAGCCCAAGGTGAAAACCGAGGCCTAAACCAACTCAGAGAAAGGGAACAAGGCTGACAGTGCACAACCCTTACCATATAGGATTTTAGAAAGTGCGCAGAAAGCTTAGCGTGCACATTTACCACAATGTGGATTTAGAAAGTGCACAGAAGCTCAGCGTGTGCACATACCAAAGCATGGATTTAGAAACACTGTTACTAAGGGGTAACCGAAGCTGTCACCTCAGGGAGCACGTCACGAAGCATTATACTCCGAAAAATGCTCAACCTGAATGGAGGACCCGCGAATCCTGAGGTCGCAGCATAATACTGGGGACCTGACGGTTAAGGAGGCTCCCGCAGAAGCCCAGCAACTTGGCTGCGTGGTCCAGTAGGCATGAAGCCGAAGATGTAGGGCTAACATTCAGCCTGGATCCAGGACCGACATGTGAGAACATCACCACTATCGGTCAACAGCGAGGGGTTCTGACTACAGCAGGGGAGGTGCTCACAGTGGTCCTAACCCTAAAACAAAGTCAGAAAAACAGAACAGGTCCAAATAGCGCTGCGGAGAAAACTAGTTATTGAATTCACATAAACTAACAATAGAGTTGATGAAATGGATCGTACTCACCAACCACGGCTCCCGCGCATGACTCAAGCTCATGGATTTAATCTGAAGGCGAAGTCCGAAGAGTGCTTGGGTCTGTACCATCAGTAGGTAGTTCTATGGGACATAGAAACTAACCAAAAACATCATAGGTCCAGCATGAGAGACTGTAATGCGAGCGTAGGAGACTCCTACCTAACCTCGGTCAGGTGGGTGGCTTTAGGGGAATTAAGGGGAGGAAGATGAGAGCAGATGTTAATACTCTCGGATGGAGGTGAGAAGATGGCTCAGGTTTTACTCACGGATGGAGGACACGGATCCACACACTTCTTAAACGCATTACTAGTGCTCGCCATGGTAAAGAAGAAAAATCATTCTTACTGGAATGCACGCTTCAAACAAAACAGTCCTGAAGACGAAGAAGAGGATGACGTGTTCTCCCGGTGCTCTTTTATACTGTGATCGCGCCGGGTAATGACGTCATAGGCTGTTGCCGGCCAATGTTATTGTCGTGTTTAGATGCATGCTTCAGACTCTGGTCACGCTGAAGGCGTTCCCCAAAGCGACCTCTAGAGGACGCAGTTCGAAGTTCCCTCGAAAGGGAACAATAAATGCTTGCATTGATGGATGCTTATGTGAGTGGGTTAAGACATACCTGCAACTCTAGTTTAACGACAGTTTTAAGACATTTTTATCAGTCATAAGTTTTGGAGAAAGATAGCACAGGCACTGGAGGCTACGTATTTGGCTGTACACATAAACTAAACTTTGGTGTAAAAACTGAAGTAAACATTGTACTTAAGTTTGTGTGTGTAGTAAATTCACTATAGCTGATACAACAGGTCTATTCCTTTTGATTGAGCGCCCACCTGCATTTCCCTACCCCCAAATGCCTGCTGTTGACCTCACACACACATACACATCTGATGGACTCTCCAGGGCCCGGGACCCCCCTCTGCCTGTCAGACCCTTCCCCCATGGGGAAGAGGAGGGGGTTCTTCACTGGAACTCTTGTACTCCCTTCCACAGCAGCCATCTGCAAGCAATCTGTCCGCTTTACCCATCTCCCCAGTTCCTCAGACTCTCTCTGATTGATAGCCCCAAAAGGAGTCTTATGGCCCAAACTGCGGACACCAAATGTCCCTGTTCCCAATGCCATCATGATCCAATTACACGGCACATCAGTCTGTTATGTTTCACTGTACAGGACATGGCGTGAACTAAATACTCTTGTCTTTGTGCCGCATGTAGGGTTTATGTTATGAAAATTACCTTTTTTAAACTGTAAAGCAGCAATTTGCATAAAGCTCTAATGATTTGTGGTCTAATGTCAGACGTCCCAACCTCAAAGGCAGAATGGATAAGTGAGAGAATTCAAGACAAGGAGGTAGCAGTAGAGAAAGAATTACACATCAGCCGCAGGGGAAGGATCTGTTTCCCACATGAGTTTGCAAAGAGAACAAACATGGCCTCTCATCCTCCCATCCACATGCTCACATACGCAGTGCATATTTTAAATAAAGTCAGTGCATTATTGGAGCTGACATCGAACATATCGTCTTGAATGCGTTTGGTGCATCTGGAGATGTTCTTCTCGCAGACAAAGCCCACACATCAGCAATGCCGAAACATGTTGTTTGCCCCATATCTCTCTTCCTATTTTGTGTGTGTGTGTGTGTGAGATTGCAGACAAGATCTAGGGTGCATGTATTTGCACATATGTGAACATGTGCTTGCATGAGTGCAGATAATCTCAAGAATGCTGCCGTCTTGTCACGCTATTGCTGTGTTTTGCGGCATCTGTAGGCCAGCTAAGCTTAGCGGAGACACCTTGCCACTCACCTATCTCACCACACTGTCTGTTTTCCAGTAGGTCGTCTGGTCTGAAGACGGAAAGTTCCAGAAGATGAGGCAGTAGCACAAAGCACAGTGGGAAGGCATCTGTTCACTGCTGGAAGAGTACAACGAAGGATTCTGAGAAATTATTAAGAGGTTCCTTAAGAAAAAAAAAAGATGAAAATGATATCATGGAGCCAAAATATTTGCACTTTCTCCTCCCATTTTTAGACATTTTATTATGTCCTTTGTTTGTGTTGTAAACGTCTTATTAATATGACTATACTATGTCCTATAATATGAGAACACAGACTGTAAGTGTGAATGATTACTTGCTTCCTTCCACATTTTTAGCACATCCACGCTCAATCCAGACAGTATTATAGTTGTGTTTGAATGAGACATTTTTGAATGTCATTTAAAAAAAAAAACAAGCATTCTGTTTTGAAATTAGCTTGTCTTTAAATGCCTCTTCTTCGGTTTGCTTTTGTTTTTGATAATGTCCACTCAACCAGTATGTTTGCTCCTTTGTTCACCTTGGCAACGGAACTAATGGAGCATTGATAGTGAAAAAGAAATGGAGCGAAATCGTTTCTGTCAACAAACATTAGCTACGGTCTCTCAGACCTGCACCTAAGGACACTAGTAATGCACACATAACCATCGCCTGAGAATTAGCAGTAAGTTCCACATGGTTTGTTCAGAAGTCAGAGGTCAAAAACACTATCACGCAAAATTAGTATGGTAAATGTCACGAAACACTTAGCTTTACTATCTTCAAATGGATTATTCAGTAAGTACATGGTGTGTCTCACATAGTGTTCTGTTGTTGTTGTTGCTGTTGTTTTTTCGTAATGCCTTTATCAAATCTTGAACCTTCAAATGACAAATAGTACAGTAAAAATGGGTGTTGTAAGTGCTGTAGACTGATGTGTGCATAGAACTAATCTAATTTAGAAGTGCTTTTCATAAGAAATACTTCTTTCCATACATCAATTCTTCCCGAGCTGGGTATTTGCATACACTTTTTGGACATGTACTATGGTATTCTTTGAGGTACCTGGGAGTGACATGTAAATAGCATGGTAATCATTCAGTGCCACTGTATTTTACCATGGTATTACCACAATGATGTTGTTGTTGTTGTTTTTTTGTAGGATTCAGTTTTCTTCTCTGGGTAGAAAAGGATTGTATAAATCAGAAGGTTTGTGTAGGTCTTACAATAATTCAGTGTAAAAAAAATGTTATTTTGCAAAGTCTCGCAAAAGTCCTGTCTGGTGTGATTTATTGTTAAGCATCTGTGTTAGCTGGAGTGTGTTCAATAGCAATGATTTGTTTCTCAGCCAAGGTAATCAACTATAGTTATGTTGCAGGAATGACTATGAGAAAAGGATAATTGATTTAAATTTATTGATTGTTTTAAAATTGTAATTAAAGTTAACTTCTGTGTCATCATTGACTGGGCTTTGATAATGGTAATTTCTTGTTGATTCCAAAAGCGAAACTTCCAAACTCTTGCAAGAAAATTAGAGATATAAATATATTTACCCCTTATTTTGATGACTATACATTTCCACTTTAGGAAATATTTGTTTTGTGGCTCTTTATGTTTGCCCCCCCTTCATGTATGTATATGTGTGAGTGTTTTATCTTTCTGCGTGTGTTTTTTGCTTTTCGACATGTACTTGGAAGCCATTACTTTGGCTTAAAAATTTAATTAGTGAAGTTGTAAATATTTATCATATGTGCTTTTTTTTTCTTTTTCTTTTTTCTTCAATTCACTCTTAAAACAGTGCTTAGCAAACTCTGAATGTGATCTCAGCATCAATTAGATTATATCGTAGATTAAATTGTTAGTAGGCAGTACAAATCATAAAATTTCTTCTTTTTTTTTCTTTTTTTTTCTGTTCATCACAATGTAAAAATGAGTCAGTGACAATACACAAAAGAAAAAAAATCTGTCTACTTGTTTTTCTAAAATTTTCGGATTATGTGCATCATAATGTAGAAATGGCAGCGAGTGACAATACACACATGCAAAATCTAACTGTCTGCATTGTTTTTTTTTTCTGATGATGTACATATTTTGTTCATTGTAATTCAAATTATATATTTTCATTTGGAAAAAAAAAAAAACACTTAAGCATACTTTTAAAAAGAGTTCTCCATATGGAGATAATATACTTTAAAATAATACACTTAAGTGTGAACACTAATGTTTTGGACACTTAATTGCATTTGCAATTAAATGAAAATGCATTATGGTGTTACAAAAAATATTACATTAGTATTTTAATTAAGCATGACAAGTTTAAAACAATTGATATACTTTAATGTAAAAATTTTCATTTGATATTACAAAGTGCAATTTTAAAATGGTCATAAAAGTGTGCTCGCAAGTACTTTTTATATATTACAAGTGCACATTCAATACAAGTAAGCACATATTTTTCAAAAGTGTTAGATAACGTCAGAACACAGCTTTGTCACATTATTATACAAGTTATCTGAGGTCAAAGGTCATAAGAAAATTGGAAGAGTGGCAAACATCTGAAGCTTGTAACGCCTTGTGAAAATTAAACCTGTTATGTTGAGTTGTTTGCTTTAAAATTCGTTTAATGTGCAACATTTCAAGACTCGTATGATAAGAAAGTCATGATGTATTAACCTAATATTTCAGTTTTAAGTACATTTAATATTTGTATGCTGGCCTGAGGATTAATACTTCACATTCAGTAATGGTTCAGAAATTGGGTATGTCAATAGTAGTCTTGGGATGACTGTGTTTTCGAATTCAACTTCAGCGAAGTAAACACACCCTTGTTCACAGCTGCCGCCCATTTTCTCTTTTACGCCCACCTGAAACGCAGGTCCATGTGTCCCCTGAAGTACTTCCAGACCTCAGCTGAGGCCTCATCACATTTTAAATGTTTCAAATTGTTCAAGCTGTAATCATGGTCAATCAAACGAGGGAACCAATCTGGAGGGAGGCACAGATTACTGTTAATATCACAGATAGACAGAAGGTGACTCAAAAGAAAGGTATTTAAGCCTAGAAAATTGGCCTAAACCATCACCGTTCCAGCATGGCCTATTCGGCAGCAGTAAAAAAAAGGCCACATGTTCAGAATGTACGGAATGGCAGTGAAAGCAAGAGACTTCTATAAAAGAGGCAACTCCCTGTTCCCAGGTGCACAACTGATCAGATGTCTAGTGATACATATCGAACAAGGACTGATCCAAAGAGGATGTGAGATCATTGTTGAAATGCAGTAGAGCATTGAGGAACCAAAGTTTTATCTTCCCATTGAAGCAGGAGCACAGAGATAAGTTCTTGAAGACGAGGACGGTGTCAGAGGTTGGGTCAAGGACTTTGGGGATATGGGGGGGGGGTGTGAAATAAGGGTTGTAAAGCAGCTGGGATGCATGTGTCTAACACTGACACATGTGGCATTTGACTTTCAGTGTGAAGTTCAAAAGAATTTCATAATGACGCAGCTGCTTAGGGATGTGTACATGAAAGAGCGTGTGTGCGGGTGATTTGCGGAGGAGGATAATAGATTTCCATTGTTCTTAAAGACCTATTGACTCAAAAGATGTCAGAATGTCATGTTGAGTGGTTCCGTGCTGTGCTAAGCAACTTCGGCCTTACTTTATTCACTAAACTATAGTAAATGAAGTCTTAAGTGATTAAGTATGAACATGCTTATGTAATGAAGGAAAACAGTACAGAAATGTTTGCTGTAAGTAGTATTTTAAGTAAGTAGTAGTGTTTAATTACTTATTACTTTCTAAATCCTATATCAACCTCGACAAGTTAATGACACAAGGACAGACATGAAACCGTTCTTTTAATTCTTTCAAGTAACTATAAATTATTACACTTTAGGGTCCAATTCTCGCTATTAACTAACTATTAACTATGACTTTTGCCTCAAAATACTCCTAATTACTGCTTATTAATACTTAGTTGTTAAAGTTAAACAACTAAGTATTAATAAAATGCTTGTTAAAATAGTTGTTAAGTTTTAGAATAGGGTAGGATTAAAGATTTAGAATAAGGTCTTGCAGAATAAGACATTAATATGTGCTTTTTAAGTAATAGTAAACAGCCAATATCCCAGTAATATTCATGCAAATACGCAACTAGTTAATAGTGAGAATTGGACATTAAAGTGTTACCAATACTATTATTAACTCACCAAAGTATTTAAAGTGAGAAGTGTACATAAAAAGCATGCATTTTAAAGTTAGACTGTAAATTTTGATGTTAAATCCACTATTGTGTATAAATGCTCTACAGTATATACACAGTATTAAGTTCAATTACATAAGAAGTAACTGTAATTAAATTACTGAAAAAAACAAGAGTAATCCCTTACTTTAATTTTTCAAGTGAAAAGTAATAAACTACAGTAACTAATTACATAGTAATGTGGTTTTCGTTTGTTTGTTTATGTTTTTTCAATGAATAAATCTGCATTTTAATCAAAGTGGCCACACACCATAGGATGTTGAATTGGAATGACACCAATAAAAAAAATAATAATAATAATTAAAAAAAAATAATAATAAATTAAATTAAATTAAATTAAATTAATAAATAAAATAAAAATGTATAAAATAAAAATAATCTGAGAATTGAATTAGTCCTGCACAAGTTTTGGCAAGACTTTTGGTTAAATGTCTTTCTTTCATAATAACCTGAAAGTCTTATATATGTACAGTATATGTACAATTCAGGAACTGAGATGACATTTTAAAAGCATTCTCAGTTCAATTCTGAATGTTTATTAATTAACCATTAAGCAGCATGTGCAATTTTTATCACAACTAAATTAATTTCAGCAGTCTACTATATGAGCTACAGAAAATAATTCTTAAAAAAAAAGACTCCTTTTGAGGGGAAACAAGAAAAGAGATTTGATTAAAAGAAATGGGCCATTTCATGCATTTTATGCATTATTTTGTCAGATTCAGTCCACATGTTGCGGTTTACTAGTTTCAGCCCTTGTGTGAAATTAGGATCTTGCATAAGCAGTTCTGCACATGTGCAAAACTCTGCAAGCCATTATAAAGCACATTAGAGCTCATGAAGGGCAGTCATTTAGACAATAATGCCCTTAATAGTTAAAGCAAAATAGCATGTGAAATTGGAAAGGGGCTTGTTAGGTCTTGCAGTGTGAGCCATTTGTGTCTAACACACTGCTGTCTGTCTGGAGCAGCACCTGCCAAACAGGCCGTGCTCTTCAGGGCCAGGGGTCACCTGCCAGGAGGCCTAGCAGTGAGGTCAAAGGTCATATCTCAGACAGGCATGTGTGATTGAGAACACAGCTGGACTAATCAGGGCAGGTGTCTGCCCCTTTTTTACCCTTCATCTTGATCAGAATAAAATACTATTAGTGCACAGTATATTAAATGTAACTGTTAAAAGTATGTAAAACATGTTTATGCCTCATTATGATGTTTACATAATTCAGCAGGAATTTCCAGTTATGTTGCAAATAAAATATATTTAACTTTTTTACATATAATCAAAACAAACATTGTAATTCTTTAGTCCAGTCAAATAATGTGTCACAAGGAAATTAGATATTTGGTGATAATTCTTTGATTCATTCATCACAATGAAAATAAAAGGTCAAGTTGAATATAATTTTAAGCAAAGCTGTAAACTAAGTATTACATTTTGGCATTTAACTAATCTCACAGCTTTTGTTCTACAGACGTAATAGCCAAAATGATGGAGCTTTTCTATGCAAGAGTCAGAGTCATAGCCCTGTGAGAAGTTTCTCTTCTCCAACATAGCAACACATCACTCACAACTCATTTTTGTATATGCTTTGTACAGGAAAGAAGTTCTCAAATTGTCTTCCAAAAACATGTACACTACCGGTCAAAAGTTTGGAATAATTGAGATGTTCTTAATGTTTATAAGAAGTGTCTTATGCTCACCAAGCCTGCTTTATTTGTTGAATTACTGTAAAAAAATATATATATATATTTTTTAAAAATATATATATATAAAAAATATATAATAAAAATAAAAAATATTGATGAAAACAGTTGTGCTGCTTAATCTTTTTGTGGAAACTGTGATACAATACCATTCAAAAGTTTGGAGTAAGTAATATTTCTGTAATAAATGCTATTCATTGAACTTCCTATTCATCAAAGCATCCTGAAAAAAGGGTTTCAACAAAAATATTAAGCACCAAAAACTGTTTTCAACATTTACAATA